TTTTTTTGTGATAGCCTTGGCTACGCAGCAGACTCCCTATGTCCCTATGCAGACCAACCTGGTCTCAAACTCACAAAGATATGCCTGCCTCTGGCTCCTGGGATTAAAGGCATACACTACCACACCGGGCTAGAATTTCACTTTTTATTTCTTATTGCTATTTAATCAGTAAGATTGTTTCCTTGGCAGTGCTGGGGATTGAACCCAGGCCTTTGCTCATGGTAGGAAGGCACCAAGCTACACTCCAGCCCATATGTAAGATTTTAGTTAGAACAAGATTTTACTTCTTTGATAACTAATGGTTGGATGAAGTAGCATTTGTTTCAAATAGCTCGGAATTCAGATTTGTAGGTATGTTAGTTAATGTTTTCCTGGAGCAAAAGTCTACATTAAGAAATTAAAATATACGCCAGGTGTGCTGGCACATGCCATTAGTCCCAGCACTTGGGAGGCAGAGGCCAGCCTGGTCTACAGAGTGAGTTCCAAGCCAGCTGGGGCTATAGAGAGACCCTGCCTCAAAAAGGCCAAAAAAAAAAAATTAAAATATTACTTACCTATTAATGAAATAAAATTATTTTGAGAAATTACCTTATTTTAACGCAGTTTTGGGTTTTTTTTTTTGGTCTTTTTTTTTTGAAGCAGGGTCTCCCTGTAAGCCCCAGCTGTCCTGGAACTCACTATGTAGACCAGAACTGTCTACATAGTAGACCAGCTGTCCTTGAACTCACAGAGATCTGCCTGCCTCTGCCTCCCAAGTGCTGGGACTACAGGTGTGCACCACCACACCTGGCTTTAATACAGTTTTAAAAGGAGTAATTTTAACATTCTTCATAAAAATGTAATTGATGCTTTTGAATATCATAGAGCTTGGATGAGAGTGAAGATAATTTTACAGTTGTATTTTGGCAAACGTTTTATTGACATTATAAATGAAAGTGCAGTTAAGTTTTTAAATGGCACTTAATTTGTCACTTGCCGGATATGTCATTTGCAATTCACAAAAGACCCTGTCCCATACTGAGTAGAAAGAAGGGGCTGTGAGTACAGCTTCTCTATTTACAATTCACTCAGCAAAAGTTAACAAACAAAAGCATCTAATGTGAAATTTAGTTCAGATATCAAAGGTCTAACCCACTTTACAATGCATTAGTTTTATCTTTGAATAAGCTGAATTGGCCTTAACATGAAAGATTAGATTTGTCACATATCTTGTGCATTATTTACACAGAAATGAAAAATCCTCTGCTTTTGGAGCTAGAGAGATGGCTTAGCAGTTAAGAGCACTGACTGCTCTTGCAGAGAACCCGGGTTCAATTCCCAGCACCCACATGGTGGCTACGAACCTTCCTTAACTCCAGTTCCGGAGGAATCCAAAGCCCTCTCCTGCCTTCCGCAGCATGACACAACATGGATGCACTCACATACATGCAGGCAATACACTCATACACATAAAATAAAAAAATAATAAAGAAAATATTTTTTTAAAAAAGAAAAATCTGCCAGGCGTGGTGGCACATACCTTTAATCCCAGTACTTGGGAGGCAGAGTCAGGCGGATCTCTGTGAGTTCGAGGCCAGCCTGGTTTACATAGTGAGTTCCAGGTCAGCTGGGGCTACAGGGAGACCCTGCTTAAAAAAAAAAAAAAAAAAAAAAAAAAAAAAAAAAAGAAAAAGAAAAATCTGCTTTTATACTAACTTGCCATTTGGTAATTTCTTCAAGAAAATGAAATAATTTGAAAGATAATTTGACCTCTAATTTATAGGAAAACACCTGACACTTTGAAAATAATGTGAAGAATTTCTTTTCTTTAAACTGCAAATTATCAGAGTGATTAACTGCTTGAACCACTCATTTTGTAGATGGGAAAACTGATAAAAGTACAGTCATACTTTGAATAGTCGACACTCCTCCAAGCCTGGCAGTGTTTGCCTATGGGAAAAGGACTGACTGAAAACCAAGGGAAAAGGTGATTGGGGGGCGGGTATCAGTATGCAATGCGAACAATAAGTCATACACATTAATATATAACAGATAAAAGATTTTAAAGATCAAACCTTATCATCAATGGAATCAAATTTCAAAGATCAGAATACCAAATAAAACTGGAAATTAGTACAGAAGTTTTAGAGATCTCTTCAAGTAAAATGGAGGACCAATATAAACTAGATTTCAGTTTTTGTGTCCTTTTTCGATACCTAAAAATATTCTAATTGCCGGGCATGGTGGTGCACGCCTTTATTCCCAGCACTTGAGAGGCAGAGGCAGGCGGATCTCTGTGAGTTCAAGGCCAGCCTGGTCTACAAAGCGAGTTCTAGTCCAGCTGTTGGGGCTACAGAGAGACCCTGTCTCAAAAAGACCAAAAAAAAAAAAAAATCTAATATAATACATATGCAAGTCTGGAGCAATTTAGGTTCTCAAGTTTTAAAAAGGGTCACAAGTTTTAAAAAACTTAAACTACAAAAGGGTGTGTTTATATGTAGTCCCCAATTATGTTTATATTTTGTCTTTTTGAGACAGGGTCTCCCTGCAGCCCCAGCTGTCCTGGAACTCACTATGTAGACCAGGCTGGCCTCAAACTCACAAAGATCCACCTGCCTCTGCCTCCCAAGTGCTGGGACTAAAGGTGTGCGCCACCACACCCGGCTCCCAATTATGTTTACAATTTTTTTTCCTTTTTGTTGAATTCTTGTGATTTTTATACAATACAATTTGACGGTATTTTGATCCCCTCCCCTATTCATACCTCCTCTTATTGCCCCCCTGCCCAATTTAATGTACTCTAATATATATATTAGGTGTATCAGATAATATATTATATATATTAGAGTACATTAAATATAGTACAGTACTGTAATATATATTCTCTATAATATACTCTAATATATTAGCTGTATTAGATAATACACTATATATATGAGTACATTAAATACAGTACAGTAAATAGAGAATATATATATAAATATATGGCTTATAGGTCTAGTTTGTGTCTCCAAATGTCCTTCAGTGTGGGTCCATCCACTGCAGCCTGGTTGACCTACCAAGCATCCCATGCTTAAAACAGACTACCTCTGCTCCTCCTAGCAGTCATCTGTTGCCACAATTTCCTTATGTGGGGTTGGAGCTTCTTATCCACTTCTCCATGTCTATGCTGGGTTTCTGTCTGAGTGGAGCTTGCATGGGACTTATGCATACTGTCACCATTGCTATGAGGTCATATGAGTAACTGATGAGCTGTCTAGAAAACTCTGTTTCCTTGTGGTTATCCACTACCTCTAGCTCTTACAATTATGCTTAAATTTAAAAAAAATTAATTGCTTTTAATTTTGTGTATATGAAAGGTTTAATGTTTTGCCTGCATGTATGTAAGTCTGTACAATGTTGTACAATGCCCGTGGAGGCCAGAAGAGGGTGTCGGATCCTCTGGAAGTGGAGTTAAGGATGGTTGTTAGCTGCCATGTGGGTGCTGGGAACCAAACCTGGGTCCTCTGTAAGAGCAGTCAGTGCTCGTAACCACTGAGACATCTGTCCAGCCCCAGAATTATTGTTTTTAAAACCTCTGCATGGTACAAAATCCAAATTTTCATTGTTGAACTGTTTTCTTGCATGGTCTAAAACAGTTTTATAGAGGAAATAAGATTTACATAATTCTTTAACAAAACCATCTTTTAGAGACTTGCTTTGATAGTATACAAGATCTATCCTTAGAGTTTAGAGAAATATTTTAGTAAGGAAAGTACAGGGGAGGGTCAAGGCATGTATTTTTGTTTTAGAAAAATATAATGTATATAATACATTTGGAAATTACACAGACCATATGCTTTTAGTTGCTGTGAAGGCACAACTTTAACATAATTAATGCATTTTCACTATTTATGACACAATTTTACCAGCTAATAAAAAAATATGTATTTGTAAACATCACTAAAAATGCTTTCAGATTCTCAATTCAAATGTTGATTTAAAAGGTCAAACTTGCTGGGCATGGCACAAGATTTTGAGTTCCAGTCCAGTCTGTCTCAAAAAACAAACAAATGCACGCAACAAAAAGCCAAACTCTATTTGTAGAAAATCAATAACACATTATTGTAGGTCCATATACTATTACTGTTGAGCAATCTGTTCATTGGTGGTCACTGGGTTTTCTTCATTTGTTGAATAGTCCAGATGGTTCATCACCTAGGCATAAATAAAAGATGTCAGAAAATACAAAATTTCAACTTGTCCTCCCAGTATTTATTAATCTGGCAAAAATATTCTGTGTGCATGTGTGTGTGTGTGTGTGTGTGTGTGTGTGTGTATACACGTGCACATATGTGCATCTGGGTTCACATGCAAGTGTATGCACACGCATATGGAGGCCAAAGGTGATGCTGGGTATCTTCCTCAGTTGTTTTCTACCTTATCTTTTGTTTGACAGGATCTCTTGCTGAGTCTGGAGCTTATTGATTTAGCTAAGTTGGCTGGCCAGTGAGTTCCGAGTACCCTGGTACTGGGCACTGGGGTTACATATGTATCCCACTTGGATTTTTTTTTAAAGACATGCTCTATGTGGCACTGGCTGCTCTGGAACGTAAGTTCAGATGGATAGATCAGATTGGCCTCAAATTCAGAGATCTACCTGTCTCTGCTTCCAGAATACAGGAATTAAAGGTGTACACCACTATGCTAGGCTCATGCACTTGGCTTTTTTACATGGGTGCTGGGCATCTGAACTCAAGTCTTTATACTTGCACAGTAAGCACTTTACCAACTGAGCCATCTTCCCAGCTGCACCCCTCCTTTTTTTCCACAAATAAAAGATAAAGAGAGATGGCTCAGCAGTTAAAGAGTGCCTACTGCTCTTCCAGAGGTCCTGAGTTTGGCTCCCAACATCTACATGGTGGCTCCCAAATGTTTGTCACTCCAGTTCCAGGAGATCTGATGCTCTCTTCTGAGCTTTGAGGGCTCCTGCATGTACATGCACCCAAGGCACTCACACATACACATGAATAAATTTTTTTTGTCTTTTTGAGACAGGGTCTCCCTGTAGCCTCAGCTGTCCTGGAACTCACTATGTAGACTAGGCTGGCCTTAAACTCACAGAGATTATCCTGCCTCTGCTTCCCAAGTGCTGGGACTAAAAGCCTGCACCATCAAGCCCTGCTATGAATAAATATTATAAATGATAATGATAATAAATACAAATAAAGCTTTTTTTTTTTTTTTTTTAAAGAAAGGTGACCTTATGGAATCAAGTATTCCTTTTGGAACACTGTCTAGGATGACATCACATACCTAAAGAGACAGAGTGACACTAAACTCTTCATGTGGCCTATCATGTGACTTAGAGCCCATATGATGACTGCATTTTCTGAATCTTCTCAATCTCCCAAGGTGAACAGAACAGGGCCCATTGTGGCAGTGGGAATTCCACCTAAGGGGACTATTCCAGGAAGTGTGCACTTGTGTAAATGGCAAAGCTAAAAATGGTCTCAGAAGTTGCTGTGAAAATGCCTGCTGGCTCTGCAACACTACAACCTTTTTAAAAAATCTATTTTATTTATTATTATTATTATTTTATTTTATGTGTATGAGTGTATTGCCTGCATGTGTGTAAGTGCACCCATGTCATGCAATGCCTGAGGAGGTCAGAAGAAGGTGTTGGGATTCCCCTGGAACCGGAGTTACAGATGGTTGTTAGCTACCATGTGGGTGCTGGGAATTGAACCCTGGTCCTCTGCAAGAGCATTCAGTGCTCCTAATCGCTGAGCCATCTCTCCAGCCCCCTGCAACATTGTAACCTTTTAAGAAAATTCTACATTTTAGTATTACCACTGAGGCCCAACACAAGCGAGGGAGGGGCACGAGGATCTCTGTAAGTTTCAGGCCAGTCTGGTCTACATAGAGTTCCATGCTTGCCAGGGCTACATTGTGAGACTGTGTATTAAAACAAAAACAAACTCAAACCAAAGAAACAAAACAAACAAAGAAAAACAGATAAGAAACAATACATGAACATTTGGAAACCTTATATAAAAAGAATTCCTAAACAACAAAACAAAACTAAAACATGAGAGAACTTAAATAGCTGAAAAGAAATCAAGAATAGATTTTTTTCTTTTGGCAAATGATCACTTGAACTCTGACCATATTCCATATTTTTTTAATATTTGTAAATGAAGGAAGAAGAAAATGCTTAAATACTTTCAAGAGTTTTTTACCCTGTTCTTCAGATAAAGTTACTTAAAAATAGAAAAAGCAATTTTTTGTAAAGACTACCGAAGAATTTTAGACTAATCAATAATTAGATTTCAGTATTATACATTTTTCCTTTCTTCTTTATCAAGAATTAGAAGACAGGAAGACCAGCAGGATAAACCGATCCAGAAATGGCCTAATATGATACACATTAACGTGGGTAATTGGAGTTGATGATCCTCAAGCAGAGTCATCCTAAGAATCCCTATATTCTGACTTGTGAGTTACAGCTTGTGACTATTCTAAAAATAATTAGAAGTATCAGTGACATTTAACAGATACTCACTCACTGTTTCCTGGAAGTCAACAAGGTGGGAGCCTGTTACCCAGCAGAGTAAGATAGTCTGCTTGAAGCTGAAGCAAGAGTCACATTCCATTTGATTTACCACGAGAAACACAAATACTGCCCCCCCCAATAATTATGCTCTGCCTCATTTTTCTTTCTAGGGAAAAATACCATTTACTTACACCAATTAGAACTAAGGCCCCAAGTAAAATAAGATACATGGAACTAACTGGCTTAAAATTTGAAATTTCCTAAAATTTGGTACATAACGGAAAAATGTCTGTTTCTAAGTAGAAATTTTTTTCCTCTAAGGCTTATTATGACAGTTTAGGCTTTGTCTTTTTATGTATAAGTTAAAGAAAGGTGGGGCATGGTAGCGCATGCCTTTAATAGTGGCACTTGGGAGGCGGAGGCAGAGACAGGCAGATCTCTGTGAGTTTAAGGTCAACCTGATCTACACAGTGAGTTCCAGGCCAGCTGGGGCTACAGGGAGACCCTGTCTCAAAAAGACCAAAAAAATCTCACAAAAAACAAATCCAAAACCAAACCAAACAAAAACCAAGTAAGTTAAAGGAACTAGATTTAAACAAAATTCAAAGTTTTAATATTGAGATGAGGAAAATGAAAATACAGCTAGTGAAATGAAAACAATGACTGCCAAGCCAAAAAAAAAACCCCAAAAGTTTGACTCCTACAAATAATAACAAATGTATTTATACTTTATGAAATGCTGTGACACTATTCTAAGAAAACTGGCATATAGTAACATATTTAATAGTTAACAAATTAACGACAGTCTGCTAAGTAGGTTATTATCCCATTTTACATTGGAGGAGGTACCAAGAAGCAAAGTAACTTTTCCAAGGTCACAGCTATAAGGATCAAATCAGAATCCAGATGGAAGCAGCCTGCTGCCAGACTCCATGCTCTTTTTCAGTCTGTATTCTGAATGTCTTTATGTAATAAGATTATGATGGCACACTGCAAAATCAAGAAGTTATAGTCAAAGTACTTAATGCTTTCAGATATTTTAAAATAGAATTTTCTAAAATTAGTTGCCTTATTTAGCTACTGTACTGAATGGGAATGTCCCCTATGATGGTTAATTTTAACTGTCAACTTGACACAATCTAGAATCACCTGGAAGGGTGTCTAAGGAAGCATTGTGTAGATCAGGCTGGCCTGTGGTCATGTCTGTGGGGGATTATCTAGATTAGTGGGAAGACCCACCTACTTTGAGTGGCACCATTCCCTGGGCAGGGGACTCTGAACTGTATGAGGGGGGAAAGTGAGCTGAGTACATGCATGCATGCATGCATTCTCTCTGCTTTTGACTGTAGATGCGAGCAGTTGCTCCAAGTTCCCACCACTTGACTTCCCTGCTGTGATGGACTATGACCTGGAATTGTGGGATAAAATAAACCCTTCTCCCCTAAGTTTCTTTTGTCAGGGTATTTCATCCTAGTCACAGGTTAACAAAACTGAGATGCCCCTGGAGCCTGCCTCTGGGACTGTCACTACGTTCCTATCTAGCTGCTGTGACCTTCGTTTTACAGGTAGCTGCTGTGAAGCAGAATCATAATTTCTTTTTCAATATCATAGTCTTTAAGAATAAAATGCGGATGATCCAGAGCAGACCATTTACTCCCAGGGAACATGAATAAACATAGAATTCCTCCCTAATCTACCCATCATTCCCTCTCTCTTTCTCATCAAAATTCACAGAGAGAAAAAAGGAAAGATACTAGAATAAACCAGAGAAACATGAGGCCATTTCCAAAGAAATGCAGCATCAATACAATTATGTACATAACAACTCTAAATAATCAACTATTTCTAGTGTGAGCTGGCATAAAAAGATCTGGAAGCTACCCACAAATTGTTCCAAGTAGCTACCCCTCCGTTAAGATTGGGAAAGGGATGGAATGGTCAAAAGAGGGCCTTCTAGGATGCCACAACTGGCTAAGTTTTAGAGAACAAGAGACTGCAGAGTATGTGTCCCCAGGTAGGACTCCTACAGTAAACCTCACCCACCCACACACCCACGACTCAGGGGCCATTGCAGAAGACGGGGTAGAAAGATTGGAAGACCCAGGGTTGGTGCATGAACATAAGGAAACAGAGGCTTTCAGGCCACTGGGAACTTGCAACAATGGTGACAGCATGCACAAGACCCATGCCGACTCAATCACACAAAAACCCAGCACAGAATGAGGGAAACGAGCAGCAGGCCCCAATCCTAGCCATAGAACTGTTGGCAACTGATTACTACTGGGTGAGGAAGAGTAGCTGTTCTCTAAGGGAGTGACTCTAGATAGGCTGACTAGACTCCAGTGGATGACCTTGCACTGAGGGACATCGGATACAAATAAATGCTTGACTGGATAGGACTTAACATATATGACAGAATGCATGAAATCTCATGGGGAGGTGTGGGGGTGCAGATGGGGGAGGAGGGTCTAAATTTAAGATCTATTACATGAAATGCACAAAAACTCAGTAAAATAATTTTTTAAAAGAGGGCTTTCTACTCTATTTCTTGTTTAAAAAATACATATAGGAGCTAGGAATGGTCGCACACTCATACAATCCCAGCACTGAGGCTAAGGCAGGAGGACTAGCCAGAAGCTCAAAGCTATCCTGAACTACACAGAGTTTAAGACATCCTGGGCCACAAAGTGAAACCAAAAGCCAAAACCTAAACCAAAAACCAACCAAGAAACAAATATTTATTACTTTGTAAATAAAACACACAAAAAGAAAACCATTAAAGTAAAAACAGGGTGAGAGTCTACAGATCAACTTTCAGAATATTACTTGCCAATAACATTAACTTACTGGTCATTAAATGGAACAGAAAAGCCCAGAAGTACTGTAATGAACATCTTTTCACATCAATTTTGCCATTTTATGGAAAAATCCATTAAGGAAAAATTTCTGGTTCAAAATAAATGATATAGTATCATAACAAATGTAAGATATTATATAGCCATTAACATTTTCCATAAGAAATCATAAATGAAAATACACAAAAATGCAGTGAGAGAAAGCAAGCCAGGAACTATTGGTAGTACCATCCAACAACCTAGCCATTCATCTACAGAAGGCAATTCACTAGACCTTAATAACCTCTGGGTGGCAGGATTATAGGTAGACAGTTTCCTTCTTATATTTTTAATATCTCCCAAATTTTCTATAATAGCACCTATTTTTATAATAAAATACTTAGAGCTGGGGTTGGAGACATGACTCATCAGTTAAGGGTGCATATTACTTTTGTAGAGGACTTGGTTTCCAGCACATACAATCAGGTAGCCTGTAACTCCAGCTCTAGGGAATTCAACATCCTGGCCTCCATGGGCACCTGTACTCACATGCACATTCACATACTCACACTAAGACACATACATAATTGAAAAATAATAAAAATACTTAGAAGTGGGGCTGGGGAGATGGCTCAGTGGTTAAGAGCACTGACTGCTCTTGCAGAGGATCCAGGTTTGATTCCAAGCACCCACATGGTGGCTATAAACCATCCTTAACTCCAGTTCTAAGGGAATCCGAAGCCCTCTTCTGACTTCCGTGGCATTGCACAACACAGGTGTACTCACATATGTGCAGGCAATATACTCATACACATAAAATAAAAATAATAAATATAATATTTTAAAAATGCTTCGAACTGCACTGAAAGGGAAAGCCATTTTATCAGTAAAAATTCTGGTGATGAAAATAACTGCTACACAGTTCAGTAAGATGGCACATGCACTGACAGCATTCAATTTAAATTCTAACCGAAACAATAATTTAGAACTAATCCTAAAAATAACTTTCCCATGTTATTTGACTTCCTTGTCTTGATTTACCTCACAATGAGTTAAGTGTCCTGAGTAGCAGAAACTTGCTTCCAGCTGTCTGAGGTCTTCACCTATATTCTTACTTGCTTTGTATGCTAATGACACTGGGAAATTCCATCTATAGTCAGATTCTAGCTCCTGCCAGTCAGACCCATTTATTCTGCTATTACCCTTTTTTGGTAGTTCTAGAGGTACTCTGAAATGTTCAGCATTCAACATGTCCAATACTCATCTCCAAGCCTCCCCTCCTTCAGAGCTTCACTTAATTTTCCTCTCCCTGCACTGAATCCATCATCAGACTCCATTAATTACGCCTCTGAATTTATCTTGACCTTGTCCACTGCACTTTAATGTGGCTTACAAGGCCTTCCAGATGTATACCTTTATTTTATTATTATTATTATTATTATTATTATTATTATTATTTGGTCTTTTTGTGACAGGGTCTCCCTGTAGCCCTAGCTGTCCTGGAACTCACTATGTAGACCAGGGTGGCCTTGAACTCACAGAGATCCGCCTGCCTCTGCCTCCCAAGTTCTGGGATTAAGGGCGTGCACCACCACACCTGAGTTTATTTTTTTTTAATTTTTATTTTATGTGTATGAGTGTACTGCCTGCACGTATGTGAGTGCACCCGTGTCGTGCAATGCCGTGGAGGTCAGAAGAGAGCTTCGGATTCCCCTGAAACTGGAGTTAAGGACAGTTCATAGCTGCCATGTGGGTGCTGGGAATTGAACCCGGGTTCTCCGCAAGAGCAGTCAGTGCTCTTAACTGCTGAGCCATCTCTCCAGCCCCAGATGCATACCTTTAGTCCCTCTCCAGTTTGCATCTCCTGAAGGCTCTTTACCCATACTTAACATTAGAACCACCCTAAGCTTCATTTAAGCCACCCTACACTTCATTTGGTTCTGAGAATGTGCCATGCTTTCTTCCATTTGAACTTTTGAACATAATTCTTTTCAGATGAACACATGGCTCAATTTTAAAGTTTCAAAATGGATTTACCGGTGTTTAGGGGCCCCCTTCTCAGAACCACCTATTAAACTGTTCTGAAGCTTCAGAACTGGATGGTCGATCTCTAGCTACCATGCTCCCTTACCATTATCACACTTTACTTAGTGACTCTATCTGTACTTCCTAGTAGACAATAACTTTCACAAGTCCACAAAGGAGGCCTGTGTGTCACTTGTTTATTTTGTATCAGCATTATCTAAAATAGTACCTACTTCATAGAACTTCTCAATAAATATTTATTAAATGCAGAAATGTAAAATGTAGAAATGATAAAAAGCCATTCTGAGTATAAGACATACAAAGGTTAGCAGTAGTGTGCTGTAGGCCTCTAACTTGCTATAGGCCTCTAACTTGCTATGTAGTTGACGTTGGCCTTGAAGTCCTGATCCTCTTGCCTCCACCCCTAAGAGCTGAGATTATAGGTATGGACCAATATATCTGAGTTGGCATGCTTTTATTTTATTTTTAATATTTTATTTATTATTTTTATTTTATGTGTATGAGTGTATTGCCTGCCTGTATGTGAGTGCACCTGTGTCGTGGCAATGCTCGGAGGTCAGAAGAGGGCTTTGGATTCCCCTGGAACTGGAGTTAAGGATGTTGGCCACCATGTGGGTGCTGGGACTCAAACCCAGGTCCTCTGCAAGAGCAGTCAGTGCTCTTAACTGCTGAGCCATCTCTCCAGTCCTGATATGCTTTCATTTTTTAAAAACTATAAAAGGGAAAAAGTCCTATACTGGTCTAGCATGTGGGAGGCTCTAGGCTTGATCTCCAGTACTGAAAAAAAAATTGATGTGGTGTCACCTTTATGGAGAAATTAACAGCCATCTTACTAGTTTAGTCAAGGACCTTGATACCATAAATAAATTCTGTATATATAGGTTGAGAAAATACCATAAATAAATTCTGTATAATATAGGTTGAGAAAATAGCATTGTTCAGTAGGTAAAGGAGTTCTTATTTTTCTAAAACTCAAATTATAATATTTACCAGAAAGAATTCTAAATCAGTGATTTTCCAGTTATAGAAACCTGTGATATAAAGCTAGCTACCTCTTGCTAAATATTACAAATGACACTGTGAACTTTGAACTGTTTCTCTAGTAAAACATTTGTAGTCACCCACTTGGAATATCTCTTTTTGTTCATGTGCCCATTGACACACATGCAAGAAGGTAGATGGAGGAGGGTAATTTGCTTTAATAGGACAAATCAGAGTTAACTGTTCTACAAAATGTCTTTGGGAAGGGTCAATGCCATGGCCTGACCTGAGTAGGCAATGGTTTCTCAACTCTCCTTAATTTCAAAGCAAATCAATTTTACTGGAAGACCAAGAACATTTGGGGAAAAAAGAGAAGGGATTTAACCTGTTAAGAATAACTGAAATATAACATTCTGAAATAAAGATTTTCTTTGTTCTAGGAATTTTTTTTTTCGGTCTTTTTGAGACAGGGTCTCTCTGTAGCCCCAGCTGTCCTGGAACTCACTATGTAGACTGGGCTGGCCTTGAACTCAGAGATCCACCTGCCTCTGCCTCTGGAGTGCTGGGATTAAAGGGGTGCGCCACCATGCCCAGCTCTGTTCTAGAAATTTTAAAGGACTATCTTGATCCATTTAAATCTGACATGAGTGCCCAACTGAGGTTAGTTTGGTACATTGAAATGCTGGAATGGATATTTTTATTTTCAAAACCTTAGGGGCTTGAGAGATGGCTCTGTGGTTAAGAAAACTTGCTGTTCTTCCAGAGGACACAGGTTTGATTCCCAGCACTCCTATGGCAGCTAACAACCATCCCTAACTCCAGTTCCAGGGGCTCCAACACCCTCTTCTGGCCCTTGTGGGCACTGCATGCATGTGGTGCGTGTACATGCAGGTAAAACACTCATACACATAAAATAAAAACAATTTTTTGAAAAAGCCTTAGGACTTAGTCTGGTGTGGTGGCACATGCCTTCAATCCTAGCACTTGGGAGGCAGAGGCAGCTGAATCTCTGTGAGTTCTAGTCTAGCCTGGTCTATACAGCAAGTTCTAGGCCAGTCAGGGCTATACGATAAGACCCTGTCTCAAAAAACCAAGCCAAACCAAACCAGAGAACCAACCAATCAACCAACCAACCAAACAAACAAACCAACGAAAAGCCCTGTAGGACTCTCACTATAAATTGATAATTCAGTTTCATACTTCAGCACTTAAATAGTTTCATCTTTCATGAAGTTTTCTTTTGTGAGGACTCTGGAAATGCCTGTTGAAATGCTGTTTTCCCTCATGTCCTCCACTGTAGCTTTATCTTGAGTCACCAGGTTTATGAGAACCAGTGTTGCAGCAGGCAGGCGTGAATGGGGCAAAGAGGGAAAAGCTCAGGATGCCCACGGCTAAGGCAACTTCTTGGTACACAGAATATTTGCTATAAATAGGCTGTTTTCAGCCTAACTCAGCCAGTTAATTAGATGTCTAAGTACATACCTGATAGTTACTACCTTTCCAGAACTTTTTCATTTCCTTACGGCTCCAAGCAACAATTGACACAGTAATAAGCGTGCAAGGTACTAAATAGAGAAGGGCAGGTTGCCCTTTTTTCATCAGCACCAGAACAACAAAGGTAAGTATCATGCCGACAGCATAGGCTGTGGGAAAAACAGAAGTACTAGTCAGTTTTACATGCTATCAAGAGTGGCTTTTTCCTCCCCGATTAAAATACTAGCTTTCAAATATTTCTGAAGATACTTTAAAAAATATTTGATTTTTAATTATGTGACTATGTTGGGTTTGTGAACATGAGAGCAGGTTCTTGAGAAGGTTAGAGGGGCTGGACCCCTGAGTGCTGGTATCCTAGGCAACTGTGAGCCACCCAATGTAGGTGCTGGGAACCCAAGCCAGGTTCCCTGCAAGAGTAACTCTCTTAGTCACTAAGCCATGTAGCCACCTAGATAATTTTGCAACATGATGCCTTAGAATTTTGCTTCCTTGACAGTTTTCACAGAACAAAAATTTTATAGAACTTCTAACAAAATCTGGAAACTGGTATTTCAAACTAACCATTAATCATAGCTTCAGATAATAATTTATGAAAGTATCCAACATTTGTCACTATTGAGGATACAGAGTTGCTTTGGGGCTGGAGAGATGGCTCAGAGGTTAGGAATACTGACTGCTCTTGTAGAAGACCCAGCACCCACATGGCGGCTAATAACTATCCTTAACTCCTGTTCCAGGGGGTCCAACACCTTCTTCTGACCTCTGCGGGCATTGTACACACGGGTGCACTTACACACATGCAGGCACTGCACTCATACACATAAAGTAAAAATAATAAAATATTTTTAAAAACCTAAAAATAGTGGGTTATTTCACATTTTAGATAACCGAGTATGTGTTGTAGGTACTAAAAACTGCTTTGGAAAACTATCTTGGGGGCTGGAGGAGTGGCTCAGTGGTTAAGAGTATTTGCTGCTCTTCAAAAGAACCCAAGTCCAGTTCCCAGAACCCACACTGAGCAGCTCACAACTGCCTGCAACTTTTGCTCCAGGGGAATCCGATGCCTCTGACCTCTGCAGGCAGATGCAATCACGTGCACATATTCCCATACACATACATAATTAAAAATAAAGCATAAACTGCTCTAATACAGATTGTAAATTTCCTTAATAAGTATATATTAAACATCATCTAGACTTTTCTTAATGATTCAGGATTTCATCTTGAAATCCTGTGGCTGAAAAGACTTTCACAGAAAATTTTAGCCACACCCTTTAAAGATAAGACAATGGAAGATTGGAAGTTGAATGAGCTGCCAGAGTCACAGGAGAATTTGTTCTTTATTCAGTCATGCTGCCTAGTACTGGGTGTATTGCCATGAGAGGGCACCATCCTTAACCACCTCAGGCTGCTTTTATTTCTGTTCATTTGCTCCTTCCCTCCTCCTCTCTTTCTCTCCTTACTGCTCTCTTGCCCCTTCTGTTCTTCTTACTTCCCCTCACTTAGCCATTCTTCCTGTCAAGGTATCTACTTCTAGTACCTACTTCTCTACTAATGTATATATAAAATTCAAATTTATGTTATTTGTATGAGTGTATTAACTACATGTATGTAAGTGCAACCATGCTGTACAATGCCCATGGAGGTCAGAAGAGGGTGTTGGATTCCCCTAGAACTGGAGTTACAGACAGTTGTTAGCTATCTCTCCAGCCCCTAATGTATATTTCTAACATACTGGACTTAACTCCACTGTGGACTAGAAAGCCTTGTACGAAGTGCCTAAGTGGCTCTGGTGCAGGCCATTTGTTCAAGCAGATAAAGAGCTTTGGTGCATGGATTTTGAAATAGCCATCTGGTATGTTCAGAAGTAATAGGGCTCCCCAAAACCCCTTACTTCCTATTATCTTTTTTAGTAGCTGAAATAGAAGTGACAACTACCAGTGTTGTTCCAGGTAATATGTGTGCTGCCACTAAATCATTTACATAAATTCATATTATCTACATACTATGTTAAAAAATCAAGTAAGAAATAATTTACTGACTACTTACATTCCAGATATTTTGATAAACATTATGTATAGAACTTCATTTTTTATTGATTTTTTTGTGTATTTCATACAGAACATCTCAAACAATCTTAATCATCTTTATACCCCCATCCCCACTGGCACCCTCCGATAGCTCCCCCCTCCCAGTGGAGCCCATATACTCTGTCATCCGTTACTGCCCACTGTGTTGTCGCTGCCCCCAGCCATTCCCCAGTGCTTATCCATCCGCTGAGTCTAGTCAGCCTATCTAGAGTCCCTTGTTTTAGGAAGATCAACTCTTCTTCATCTAGCAGCAATCAGTTGCTAATATTCCTTTAAGTAAGATTGGGGTCTGCTGGTTATTTTCCTAGTTCTATGCTGGGTTACTGTCTGCCTGAGTTTGCACAAGACCTGTGTATGCTGACACCTGTGCCATAGAATCATATGAGCAGAACCTCATTTATTTTTGAGATAGGGTTTCACGGTGTAGACCAGAGTGAGCTTGGACTCACAGAGCTCTGTTTGCCTCTACCTGGAATGCTGCCTTGAGTGCTAGGATGAAAAGCCTGCACCACTATGCCTGGCAGAACCTCAACTTTTAATTTAAAGCCTCTAAAACCTTGTGACATAAATTATATTCCATTTATTTATTTATTACTTATTCATTATTTTCTGAGTCAAGGTGTCATGTAAGCCAAGCTTGCCCTGAACTCTGTATGTAGGTGAGGATGATTCTGAACTCCTGATTCTCCTGTTTCTGCCTTCCAAATACTGGAATTACAGGTGTGTACCACCATGCCTGTTTTTTTTTTTTTTTTCCTTTTGGTTTTTTAAAAAAATATTTTTAATTATTTTTATTTTTGTGTGTATGAGCATATTGCCTGCGTGTATGTAAGTGCCCCCATGTCATGCAGTGCTCACGGAGGTCAGAAAGGGTGTTGAATCCCCTGTAACTGGAGTTATAGACGGTTGTTAGCTGCCATGTTGGTGCTGGGAAATTGAACCCGGGTCCTCACAAGAGCAGCCAGTACTCTTAACTGCCAAGCCATCTCTCCAGCTCCCTCTTTTGGTCTAAGTGAGGGTCTCCTGGTAGCTCCAATTGGCCTGGAACTTGCTATATAGACCAGGCTGGCTTTGATCTCACAGAGATCTACCTGCCTCTACTTCCCAAGTGCTGGGATTAAAGGTGTGTATCACCATGCCCAGCACATGCCTGAATTTAATTATCCCTTTTTGATGGAAAAATAAATAATTTATGAGAAAGGGAATCTCCAAAGAGGAAATCTCTGATTGTGTTTATTTTAAAAGAATTCTTATAAAAAAGTAAGAATGGCATCTAACTACTTATTTGAATGTTAGTTTTGGTTCACATGTAACTAGTAAATTCCTTGGTGCTTTTACTAGATTTTCTGTTTAATCATATTTCCATATGTTAAAAAAAAACAGTACTCACTTTCCCATTAAAATTTAGCTCTTAAGACTAAGTCTTGTATTATCAGTAATACTACTCACTCAGGACAAATATCTACGTGGGCCCTTGCCCTTGACATGTGCTATGTATATATGTATGTATGTATTTGAGACAGGCTCTCATGTATTTGAGACTGGTCTCAAACTCATGCAGCTGAGGATTACCTTGAACTTCTGATCCTTCTGCTTTCTGTCTTTTAAGTGCTGGGATTCCAGGTGTGTGCTATCACACTGGTTTTTATATGGTGCTGTGTGTGCTAGACAAGCACTGTACCCACCAAGCTGCATCCTCAGTCTGATACTTTTTAAGAATGTACTCTTTGTATACTATTTTTGTAGCTTTATGCTAGGTCTATACCCAAGCACTTAGTGTGGAACTGGTAAAATCAGGGAAACAGACTACTATTTTTAGACTCTTGGCTTTTCCTTCAGACAATACAAACATAATAAAAAGAAACAAATTTTACCAATTACGGATGAAATATAGTATATAGACGAAGAACCAGAGTGAATATCAAATCTTCTACAATATGCAATCAACAAGCCTAAAAAAAAAAAAATTCCACATTACTTCCTTTTGTTCTTTTTGAGACAGGGTCTCCCTGTAGCCCCAGCTAGCCTGGAACTCGCTATATAGACCAGGCTGGCCTAGAATGCACAGAGATCTGCCTGCCTCTGCCTCTTAAGTGCTGGGATTAAAGGCATGAACTACCACGCCTGGCACATTACTTTCTTAAAACAAATTCAACTGTAAGTATGGACAACAGTACATGTTGTTTTTAACTTTCCTTTTTGTATTGTGACAGCATTAAAGTCTCTTAACTTAGGAACAAATTTTCTACATTGATTTTTTTTTTTTTTTGGTCTTTTTGAGACAGGGTCTCCCTGTAGCCCCAGCTGGCCTGGAACTCACTATGTAGACCAGGCTGGCCTCAAACTCACAGAGATCCACCTGCCTCTGCCTCCCAAGTGCTGGGATTAAAGGCGTGCACCACCATGCCCAGCCTCTACACTGATTTTTAAAAATTTAATGCCATACCATAAACTTTTAGCTATTAAGCAGTATTTAAAAAAAAACATGACTTTTATTCCATGTTAGAGAGAAAGTATACTGACTGGACAAATGGGATTGTATAAAACCAAAATCCTTTTGCAGAGCCAAGGAAACAATGGAGTGAAGAGATAAGCATGAAATGGGAGACCTGCAAACCACACATCTGATAAGGGGAATAGCAAACAGGTCAACAGTAGGAGAAGACTGAACCCAGTAAGAAACTACATGAAGATCTAAGTCAGTATTTCTTGTACTTGCCTAGCATGCCTACGGCCCTGAGTTTGATTACCAGAGCTGCAAAAACAAATAAATAACAAAAAATTAAAAACAGACCAGGCATGGTGGCAGAAGCCTGTCATTCCAGCACATGGGAGGTTGAGACAGCAGGATCATGTGATTGAGGCCAGCCTAGGCTAAATATATAGCCAAGGCATGTCTTAAATAAATAAACAAATAAATCTATGATATGATTCAGCAATTCCACTATCAGGCATATATCCAAAGAAAATAAAATTAGTATGTTGAAGAGACTACAGTATTTGGAACAGCCAAGATGTAAAATCCAATCTTGGTGCTTATTAGTGAAGGAATGGATAAAGACAATGTGGTGCTTATAGAGAACTCAGTGTTATCCATCCTTTAAAAAGAAGAAAATTGGAGCTGGAGAGATGGCTCAGCAGTTAAGAGCACTTACTGCTCTTGCAGAGGACCTGGGTTCCCACACGGTGGCTAACAACTGTCTGTGACTCCATTCCAAGGGATCTAATGCCTCCTCCAGGCTTCTTGGGGATTGCATGGACATGGTACACACACATACATGCAGTCAAACACTCATACACATAAAATACAAATAAATCTTTTCAGTTGGAAGCCTAAGCCTTTAACAGCTGTGCCAGCTCTCCAGCCCAAATACATAAATCATTAAAAAAAAAAATGGAGGAGGAGAAAATTGGGCTGCAGTGTTGGCACAGTGAGATTCTCAGTTTGGATCCCAGCACCCAAGTGAAAGTTGGGTATGGTGGTGTGTGTCCGTAATCTCAGTGCTAGGGGGAAGCAGACAGGTGGATCCTTATAGTTCAATGACCAGCCTATGTAACCAAATGGGCAAGCTTGATGGTCAGTGAGAAATCCTGCCTCAAAAAATAAAGTGCAACAGAGCAAGCCATTGAACTCTGGCGCGCGCGCGCACACACACACACACACACACACACACACACACACGAAGGAAATCCTATCATTTGTGATAACAGCATTATGATAAATCTGGAGGACACTGTTTTAAGCAAAAAGAAGCCAGCCATAGGAAGACAAATACTGTATGATCTTAAAGCAGAATGTCAAAGAGCTGAACTCATGGAATAAAAATGGAGGGGCTGGGGGATGTTTAGGGAAGTATTGCTCAAAAGATACTAAAATTCATTTAGACAGGAGAAATAAATTCCAGAGCCCTACTGTGCATGGTGATAACAGTTAATAGTGATACATTATAGACCTGAATCCTGCTGAGTAAATGTCAAGTGCTCTCGTGACAAAAAATAAGTACATGAGGTGATGCGTGCCCATTTGCCATTCCACAGTGTCCACATGTTTCAAAACTACGTTGTATACAACAAATCATACAGTTTTATTTTTTCAATTTAAATAAATGAATAAAAATAAATGCATGTGTGTTTAAAATATATTTAATTTAATTTAATTTATTTATTTTGGTCTTTTTGAGACAGGGTCTCCCTGTAGCCCCAGCTGGCCTGGAACTTGCTATGTAGACCAAGGTGGCCTTGAACTCACAGGGATCTGCCTGCCTCTGCCTCCCAAGTGCTGGGACTACAGGCATGTGCCACCACCCCTGGCTTTAAAATATATTTTAAAAGTCATCAAGGAAACTAATTTAAAATGATGTTTGAAAGAGTACTTCTTGATAGCATAAAATGACTTGAGGTTTAATATAAATAATTTTTAAAATCATGAAATACAAACTTACATTTACATATACAAATATGCAGAAACTTACTATCGCTTTCTTAAAAGAAATTTGTTGAACGTTTCCAAAGAAGCGATCTCAGATTGTATTTATTAAATAGGTATTTTATGAAATAGTAGGAATGGCATCAAGGCACAAAAATCATAAAATAATTAGATGTCCCTATAGGTTATTGAATTAACTGGTTTTGGCCTATAAATAAGCTAATAAAATAAATTATGTTACATTTACTACATTTGCTATTTAATCACATTTCTATGTGTTAAAAAATGGTACTCCCTTCCCCATCAAAATTTAGCTTTTAAGAATAAATCATGTAGTGTACTGTCAATAACTACTCCTTAGGGATATATTTCTATTTGAGATATTTGATATTTAAGAATGTAATATTCATATACTCTATGCCAAATATTATGCACAAAAATCTTAGGTAGGGGCTGGAGAGATGACTCAGCAGTTAAGAACACTGGCTGTTCTTGCAGAAGACCTGGGTTCGAATCCCAGTACCCACATGACAGCTAACAACTGTCCGTAACTCCAGTTCCAGGGGATCTGACAGCCTCTTCTGTTCTCCACCAGCATTAAAATAAAAAAAAAAATTTTAAATATTAAAAAAAAATCTTAGGTAGCACTTAGTGTGAGACTGGTACAATCAGGGTAAGTTTAAAGATATACAAGGAATTATGAGGCTATTTAACAGAATGTGTCCCTTGTTTTATCAGTTATAAGAATAGCAAGCCACTAAACTAAGAAAGTAGGTGCAGTGGACTTTGCCGTGCCAATTCACAGGTCACACTGCCAGTTTCTTTCTACATAGCTTTACTGTATAAACAGAAGGGCTTTTGCAGAAAAGCCAGTGTGCCTCACTCACATACAGGCAGTTTTAATACACAGGTAGACTAGAAGAAAAGTAGAAAAGAGCAAATTCTCAGCTGACAAACATGACTGGTTCTTTTTTCTTTTGAGAGAGGGTCCCACTATGCAGCCCCAGGGGAGCCTAGACTCTCCATGTAGTCCAGGTTGGCCTCAAACTCACAGAAATTCACCTGTCTCCCAAGTGCTGGCACTAAAAGTGTACCACCATACCTTTAAAAAAAAAAAATCAGGGTCTCACTATGAATCCCTGGTTCATCTGGAACTTGCTATGTAGACCAAGGTGGCTTTGAACTCACAGAAATATACCTGCCTCTGCCTCCCAAATGCTCAGATTAAAGATATGCACCACTATGGCCAACTTATTTTATTTTATTTTTTTGTCTTTTTGAAGCAGGGTCTCCCTGTAGCCCCAGCTGTCCTGGAACCCACTATGTAGACCAGGCTGGCCTTGAACTCACAGAGATCCGCCTGCCTCTGCCTCCCAAGTGCTGGGACTACAGGCATGCACCACCATGGCCAGCTTTTTATTTTTTAACTATTTGTATGTGTGTGTGCATATGTGGAAGTGTATATGGGTGCTCCAAAGGCCAGAAGAGGGCATTGGATCCTCTGGAGCTAGAGTTACAGGCAGTTGTGAGCTTCCTGATGAAGGTGCTGGGAACAGCACTTGGGACCTCTGCAAGAGCAGCAAGTGCTCTTAACTGCAGACCCATCTCTCCAGCTCGATTTGTTATTTCTAAACGATATTTTTTTTTTGTAAACATGACCACAAAATTCAATTGTCTTCATTATAAAACAAAAGATGAAGCTTTGAACTGGATCACTTGGCACTTCCTATTCCTCCCACTTCAGAATGCTTCCATCTCTAATATTCTATTCTCTAAAATCTGTAGGTAGGCGTAGGACATTCAGGGTTCAACACACTTTTCTTGGTGGTTTTGGCTTTTTTGTGGGAAATCAGCTTTGCCTACTACAACAACTTTGCTTCTTTTCACAACTGCTGTCTCTGAGCATTGTTAGATTGGCGTTCTTGTATCACTTTAAACATTTTAATTTATTTTTATTTACGTGTTATGTGTCTGCTTGTCTGTGCACCATGTGTGTGTAGGTGCCCAAGGAAGTCAGGAGAGATGTTGAATCCCCTGGAGCTGGAGCTACTGGTTATGAGGTGTGGGTGCTTGGAAGTAAACCTGGGTCCACTACAGGAGCAGCAAGCGCTCTTAACCACCAAGCCATTTCTCCAGCCCACAATGTGTCACTTTTAGGGTCAGTGTTTGCTGCCATAGTTCTCTTGTCCCCCCCTCCCCCATTAATTTCTTCTAGGTATACATGTTTGTGTGAGTGTATGTGATGCACATGCAGTGCCTATGGAGGCCAGAAGAGGATGCTGGATTCCCTGGAGCTGAAGCTACAGGCAGTTTTGAGCTGCCCAACATGGGTGCTGGGAACTCCAGTCCTCTGAAGGAGGAGGATGATGAACTCTTAGCAACTCTCAGCCTCAAGCTTCCATGGATTGTGCAGGTCTGGCAAGTTTTAGAAACATTCACTATATTGGTGGGAGCAGATACTTGTGCGAAAGGAAAATTATTGCTTGCCTGGGATTAAGCTTATTGCAGTAAGGAACATTATGTGTAACAGTTATTGAGTAGAAGGTGACCGACTTTCTAGTACACTGTGTTTTTGAATTATAAAGCCATGCATGCTGGAGTTCTGCTGTTTCTCTTCTTGAACACGACCTTGCTAACGTCCCTAAAACACTTAATACCATCACTATTATTACCAAACAGAAGCAAAAGAAACTGTATGTTATTATATTCAACTTTTGGAAAGGATCACAAAATATACTTTCTTAGAGGTTAACCGATCCTAGTTGCTTCAAGATACTTTCTCCCCCCAAATTTTACTTTGACTGTTACTATTTGAATTTCTCTTCTAACTCTCAATATCCTTTTTTTTGTCTTTTTGAGACACGGTCTCCTTGTAGCCCCAGCTGTCCTAGACCTCACTATGTAGATCAGGCTGGCTTCGAACTCACAAAGATCCTTCTGCCTCTGCCTCCCAAGTGCTGGGATTAAAGGCGTGCGCCACCATGCCCGTAACTCTCAGTATCCATTTTTTAAAACCTGTGTCACCAATCCCAATTCTATTGAGGATCAGAAATACACAATTCACAGCATGTAACTTTTACAAGAACCTATACACCTGACTCTTAAAACCTTAAGTATAGTTTTACTAAAATTATTATAGTCACTTACCTGGTACAATAATGTCTCCAAACCCCAATATTGAAACAGGCCTGAAGCACACACTCATTACGGAGTAACAGATCAGCTTTGGTACTCTGATAACTACTGGTAACTGTTAAAAAGGAGAGAGAAGGAGGGAAGGAGGTTGGGAGGGGGAGGGGGAGGGAGAGGGAGAGAGAACCAATAAATCGCTTCCTAATATCTCTTTTATGAAGAAAAGGCCTGGCATTATAGTTAATTGTTTTAATGTTTTGTAAAACCGATTATTTTTAAAAACCCTTGAAAACAGAAGATATAAACATATAAATATTCACATATATGATACATATATGCACTCTACATGTATACAAAACTTGAAAAAATAAGATATGTAGTTTTGGAAAATTAAATCGAACATATGCAGGATCAACAGTATTAACCCACTATTCCCTTTCTCTAAGTTATCTATGTATCTATTAGCTCAGCATACATTACTGATCCTTGAAAGAGACTTTTTTTTTTTTTGGTTAATCTACATTTTACCCCAGAAAGAAGAGTCTCATCTCAGAGGGTATGATCTAAAGTCCAATGAACATATCTGAAATACAATCCTTACTTTCTCATGGGGAGCTGAATGTTGAGCAGTGGCTTCCACAAAGTTTCCATCATTCTAGGATGAAACCCAAGTCAACAGGTATTTAATAATTTAGAATGACTAAGAAAATGGCTATACTTCGTGAGAAATAAGTCTTATGCCTTAACATGCATACATGACTAACGAATTACAACAGAAGGCAAAATTATGAACTAGACAGGCAGACGCGCACCAGGCAGCATTTCTGACTGCCGTCCCCACCTTTTCGGTATTTCCAAAAGGTCCAGCTGCAAGCTCCACCATAATGCTCTCGCCATTCTAAAAGCGAAGAGGGAGATGAAAGACGTTACCCAATCATTTGCAGAGAGTGACATGCCACTATTCAAGAATGATTTAAGGCCATGGCACAGGCCTTCTGCTAACCAAAAATGGGCTATGCCAGGCATGATGGCGCACGCCTGTAATCCCAGCACGTGGGAGGCAGAGACAGGTGGATCTTTGTGAGTTTGAGGGCAGCCTGGTCTACATAGTGAGTTCCAGGACAGCTGGGGCTACAAGGAGACCCTGTCTCAAAAAAAGATAAACAAATAAATAAATAAAAATGGGCAATGGTTTGCTTTTTCCTCACTCTAGAGATAGCATTCTGTCTCAAATTCAATCCAGACTTGTAGTCATTTGAAACAAATTTCACTTAGCACACCATTCCATTTACTGAAGCTCAGTGATTATCAGACTGACAGATAAACCATGCATGGGTTATTCAAATGTACCCAGAGACTGGATTATACTAATATCCAACACGTTAATAGGTTATGAACTTGAAGTATTTTAATTTTTTCACTGTGTATACTATAGTTCTTTGTCATTTTCAACAATGTCAAAAAGAAAAGGACATATTAAAATCTTTTAAATTTAGCTTTATTCCAAAATATAGGTAACCCTACTTGAACAGATATGCATTTGACCTTCTGGTTACTCACCACAGTAACAAAGCAACAAAGCCAAGTTTGAAAAGACCTGACTTTAGAGAGCACAAGAAGTTTCTCTAGCCTGGCTCTCATTTGATTTCAACCCTGTGTACTTTTTGTGTTCCAGTCACAGCATTTGCCTTAGCAATATTTTCCCCCTGTGTCTGCTGAAGTCTTTTATGTGCACTAGATAAGTTATTCATTAACAAGTTTTTCCCTGATAGCCAGGTCTATTGTAGAGATGGAAAACATTTTGAGGTAGCAGGCTAAAAATGCAAAAGGCACTTTGTGGTTATTTTAATATAGCGAAGGATGGCCCTGAAAACTGCTACCTCCCCTGCCCAAGTGCTTGGATTATAGGCATGTGCCAGATCATCTTGCCTGGCTTGAAAGTATACTTTAAGAAATGCCTACTTTTAGCCGGGCATGGTGGCGTACGCCTTTAATCCCAGCACTCGGGAAGCAGAGGCAGGTGGATCTCTGTGAGTTTGAGGCCAGCCTGGTCTCCATAGTGAATCCAGGACAGCTGGGGCTACAGGGAGATCCTGTCTCAAAAAGACAGAAAAAAAAAAAATTCACGGCTTCATTTTGTCCTCAAAAAAAAAACCCTACTTTTAGCCAGATATGGCAGTGCACAACTTTAATCCTAGTACTTGGGAGGCAGAGACAGGCATATCTCTGTGAGGCTGAGGCCAGCCTGGTCTCCATAGCAGTTGTAGGCCAGCTGTGGCTACCAGGGAGACCCTGTCTCAAAATAAAAAGCCTAGATTACTACTCTTCAATGACATCACTGACCGAAACAGTTCACCTTAAGGGATGGAAAAGTATTTGTGAAACAGTTTGGGTAGCAATACTTCGATAGTTTAAAATCCTTATTAACTAGCTGCAATTTCAGCTCCTCAACAGGGCATATGCTTGTCTTCATGGAGTACAGTAAATACCAGGAGCATAGATTTCTACAGTGATTGCACAGCCAGTAATGTGTAAGGAATGGCTACAAATTCAACGGGGGTGTGGGGTGTAGTTTAGTGTTTGCCCAGTATACACAAGGCCTGGGGTTCTATGTTCAGTACTGCGAATAAGAGAAAAAGTCCCATGAGAAGAAAAGTAGTCATTATTAAATACTAACTAGGTGGGAGAGACAGAATAAAGGGTCAGCATGAAGTTGCAAGGCAAGGTCAAAATGAAAGGGTGGAGAAAGTGGGAGAACTGAACGATAATTAAGACATTCACGACAGGTAAAGGGTCAAGATAGAAAGACTGACAATGAATGACTACAACACTTATCCAGAACCTTCCCTCACTTTGTAAGGAAGTCTGTGGTAAAGCTAAGGATGTACAACCCAGGAACATCCAGGAATAGATACGGCCAGCCTGAGTGTATGAACAAATGAATGGGGGTGAGAAGAGCCTATGGGACCCTGGATTTAGTTTCTACTGAGGTCAGCCTCACCCTGACCTTGATGCACAGCCTGGATACATGAGACCTTTTTTGGAACAGAAGAATTAAGTTGGGTTCTTCCCGTTGCAACCAAAAGAATTCTACTGATGTAGAAAACTAGCAATGCTTCCTCACACAATGAATTGGGAACCTGAGCAGAAAGCCCTGAGTAGTACAGGGTTGCTGGGTTACACAGTGATGATCTAGGCGGCTGACTCAGTAGACTGCTCTTTCTTACTCTCAGGTTAGTTCTCCAGAAATGAAAGTAGCATTGGCACATTGCCCTCCCCCTCTCTAAAGTGGCTACAGCAGTCATGGATTATAAGGTTACAAGGAAGCTGGGCATGGCGGCGCAGGCCTATCCCAGCACTCCAAGGCGTGGGGACGGCAGATCTCTGTGAGTTCAACGCCAGCCTGGTCTACATAGTGAGTTCCAGGGCAGCTGAGGCTACAGGGAGACCCTGTCTCAAAAAGACCCAAAACAAAAACAACATTACAAGGAAAGAAAAATTACAGACATTTTAATTTTATATCAGAAGTTTTTTTAATCTAACATAATCAATTACATGCTTAAAAAAAATCCTCTACTAAAAGGCCAATTTCAATGGCAAGTCCCTTCAGAGAATTAAAATTCATTCAGTAGTAAGAAATGTAAAAAACCAACAACCTAAGAACAGATTTATGATTCTCATCTAGGGGATGTAAAGATGGCTGAGTGGTTAAGAGCACTGGCTGCTCTTATAGAGGACCCAGATTCGATTCCCAGCACCTACATGGTGGCTAACAACAGTAACTCCAGTTCCAGGGTATCTGATGCCTCTTCTGGTCTGTGGGGCCTAGACACACACATACATACATTCAGGTATTCACATATATGCATTCAATAAAAATAAATATCTTAAAAAAATTCTCATCTTTTAGCATGCTTCTTCATGGACTTAAAACATACATATGTTCATCTTACCTTTGTGATGAATGGTGTTATGAAAACAAAAAATACATCATAGATGAGGAGAAGGCCTAGAAGTATCACACAGGACTGTTGAAAAAAGAAATTAAAGATCAAACTTCCCATTTCTAAATCAACAGATTAAATTATTTTGCAAATACAAATAAACATAGGAGTATACTTTTGAACACTATTTAAAAGAGTTTTATGGTTATTACTATGTATAATTTTTTTTCACAAACCAATTTAAAATCCTTACTTTGTTTATTCCATCTGTTTAAAAACATTACTGAGTTACTGGCTGTGGTGTGCATGCCTTTAATCCCAGCACTAGCAAGTCAGTGGTTTCACTTGCCTGGGGGTTAAAGTAAGTACAAATGGGAACAATAAACTTTGAAGAGTTGAGAACCATCCTGCAGTTCATTGGATGCTGAATTATAAAAGCTACAAATTTGGAAAATTTCAACAAATAGTATAATTAAAATGAGTATATTTTACTATATGCAAATTATACCTCAATGATATTGTTTTAAAAAGAAAAAAGTAGTGTTAAAACTAGCAAAATAATATACTTTACCTTGAAATTGGGTAACTTCAGTGTTTTAATTAGATTCAGACAGAAAGCAATTCCTAAGATATCCTGTAAAATCCAAGCCCACCTATGGAATGAAAAAGAGATCACTCTATTGTTTCATTCAGGTATTTTTACATGAAACTTTAAATGAATAGGTCGTCATTGTTACATCATTCCACTGCTATGAATTGTCCACATATTAAACTTCAAGCATGACAATATACTTATTTCCTCCCTATTTAGCAACTTAACTGTCCTGACATTATAATGAATGCTATTATCCTAAGGAAGGCAACCTCAGAAGAACATCATCTATCAGCTATAAGTGCATATTTGTCTTAATCTTTGAACCTTTACATGTCTCCTACAGAGAAAGCAGCTAACAAAGAATTCTGGCGTTTGTATCCAGAGCTTGAACAGAAAGTGAAAGCTATACAATGTACTCTATTAGAAACTAACCTGCATAACTATCAATTGATGACAAAATTAATAATTTTGATAATTATCAAAATATTTATGGGTCATCAAGTCTTATAAATAAGTCATTGAGGGGAACTGGAGAGATGGCTCAGCAGTTAAGTGCACTGGCTGCTCTTGCAGAGGACCCAGGTTCGATTCCCAGCACCCACATGGCAGCTAACAACCATCTGTTCCACAGGATCTGATGCCCTCTGCAGGCATTGCATGACAAGGGTAAATGCAGGCATTACACTCATACCCATAAAATAAAAATGACAAAATATTAAAAATAAATAAATAAGTTATTGAGTAACCCCCCCCCCCCTTTTTCAGTTTTCCTTTCTGCCAAGGACAGACACCAGCTGGCCAGACAGCTCAGCAGGTAAAGTATTTGTCACCATGCCTGATGACCTGTATTCAATTCCTGGAACCAAACAGATGGAGGGAGAGAACTGACTCAAAGTGTGATGATCTCTATAGGTGTGCTATAGGATGTCAATGCATGTGCAAACACACACACAAACTAAATGCATGTACTAAATTTTATTTTAAGATACCTGTTGCTGCCGTGGTGGTACACACCTTTAGCCCCAGCACTCAGGAGGCAGATCTCTGTGAGTTCAAGGCCAGCCTGGCCTACCTGGCGAGTTCAGGCCAGCTGGGGCTACAGGGAGACCCTGTCCCAAAAAGACAGAAAAAAAAAAAAAGATATCTGTTGCTGGGCTGGAGAGATAACTCAGCGGTTAAGAGCACTGATTGCTCTTGCAGAAGACCTGGGTTCAAATCCCAGCACCCACATGGTGGCTAACAACTATCTGTAACTCTAGTTCCAGGGGATTTGACACCCTCTTCTGACCTCTGTGGGTATTGCATGACATGGATGCACTTACACACATGCAGGAAATACATTTATACACATAAAAATCAAATAGTAAAAAAAATATTTGCTGTTCCCAGTAAATGGACAATTTGCATATTACCTCCCATCTAACATGAAAGGCAACATAGTCTATACAGTCTTCTGCTTTTTTCCTAGAAATATTTTACTAATAGTTTAGAAAAGTACACCCAAATAGGGCATGGTGGTGCACACCTTTGATCCCAGGGAGACAGAGGCAGGTGGATCTCTTAGTTCAAGGTCAGCCTGGTCTACTTTAGTGAGTTCCAAGTTAGTTAATACTACAGGGAGACCTTGTCTCAAAAATGACCAGAGAGAGAGAGAGAGAGAGAGAGAGAGAGAAAAAGAGAGAGAGAGAGAGAGAGAGAGAGAGAGAGAGAGAGCGAGCGCCAGACGGACAGAGACTGACCCAATAACCTGGCATCCCATAGCTTTGAAACAGTGAAGAATGTTACTTGTGAAAATCAGAATCTGATACCAATTAAATGCTAAATATGGGTTTGTTGCTATATAAAAACATGCTCTTCCAAGGCTAGGAAGGGAGACTGCCATAGCTAACAAGTCCCAAAGATACATACCATGCATTTTGCTTTTGTGATGATTAGTTTCAGTTGTCAACTTTAGAATCACCTGGGAAGAGAGTTCATGTCTCCCCAGGAACAGTATCAGACAACCACTGTATCAGTGCAGAGGGGCTGAGCACAAGCAAGCATGCATTTCCTGTGCTCTTGTCTGTGAACTGATGTGACTAGTTGCTTTGAGGTCCTACTGTCTGGACCCCCATGTAATAATGAACTATAACCTGTAACTGTGAGCTAAAATAAACCCGTTGTCCCATAAGTTGCTTTTTGTCAGGGCATTTTTCTTACATCAGCAGAAATGAAACTAAGCCTTTTTCAGTTAAACATATGTTCTGGAAATCATTGCATTATCAACTTAGAGATCTTTATTTTTAGGGTTATAGTGTACTTCACTGTAATATACTATAACTAAGCATATTTTTTAAGAACTTAAATTTAAATTTTATGTGTATGAACGTCTTGTGTGCATGTAAGTGCAGCACATGCATACAATGCCTGTGGAGATCAGAAGAGGGAGCTGGGTCCCTTGGAACTGAAGTTATGGACCTCTGTTAGCCTCCATGTGGGTGTTGGGAACCAAACTCAGGTCCTCTGCAAAAGCAGTCAGTCCTCTTAACTGCCAAGCCATCTCTCCAGTCCCAATTAAACACATTTACAAGGCTAGGTATTCAAAGTATAACTCAATCTCCTTCCCTGTCTGAGCTCAAATCATTAGCCTAAGATCTGTTCATATTGCTGCATCTGGTGGTTTACACCTGTAATCTCTGCATTCAGGAGGCAGAGGAAGGAGGATCATTGTAAATTCAAGATCAGACTGGTCTAGTGAGTTCCAGTCAGCAAGGGAAATCCTGTTTAAAAAAAAAAAAAAAAAATCTCGGCTGGAGAGATGGCTCAGCGATTAAGAGCACTGGCTGCTCTTAGAGGACCCAGGTTCAATTCCCAGCACCCACATGGTGGCTAACAACCGTCTGTAACTCCAGTTCCAGGGGAATCCAACGCCCTCTTCTGACCTCCGCAGGCATAGTACGAGATGGGTGCACTTACATACATGCAAACAATACACTCATACACATAAAATAAAAATAATAAAATATTTTTAAAAATCTCCTAATTTAAAAAATATCTTGTTTCAAGATATGTTCTGGAATAAAAGCAAAACAAACGAACAAAAAACCAAACCAAAACAAAACCCAAAACAAAAACCCCTCAATAATCATCATGAATAAGAGTCAGAGTCAGGAAAAGATATAACCCTTAAATCTAGAAGAGAAGCCAGACACACCTTTAATCCCAGCACTCGGGAGGCAGAGGCAGGTGGATCTCTGTGAGTTCAAGGCCAGCCTGGTGTATGTAGGGAGTTCCAGGACAGCTGGGACTACAGGGAGAACCTGTCTCCAAAAAAAAAAAAAAAAAAAAAATCTAGACGAGAATAAATGCGCTGATCTAAAAGATCTAAAAAAGCATCTAAAATAAATACATCATACCTATCTTCATTTCTAAATACAGCCCATACAACAGCTACCGCGATGCATAGTCCGGAGAGAAAAATAAGTTCCACTTTAATGCTTTTGTCACAACATGCAATCCTGAAAAATAAATTGAAGCAGTTAATTTGTGCTGTAGATAGAAGAATACAATGTTTACTTGATATAAGCAGTGCCAAACATTAATAGAGTGACTGAAATATTAACCTAGAGTCAAGATTTGAAGTAAAATAAAGAGGCATAATAATGAGTCCAATAAGCCCTTCTGTGGTGATGGAAATGTTCCATATCTATGTTTTCCAGTCTAGTGGCCACTGGTCATGTGGCTACTGAACACTGCAAATATGTCTCAGACAAGAATTGAATCAAAACATTTCAAACATCCATTAACATGATTTAAATTTAAACAGCCATAAATCTAATGTATATTGGACTAAAGTATTTAAAACATCCTCACAATTTGTATTAAATTCCAAATACTAATTATAACATTCCCCATGGGCTACATACGTGCAATGTCCACATGGTATCTTAGCAATCAACACGGCAAGACAGTTGTACAGGCCCATTGCGGATGCTATGCAGAAAATTGCTATCATAACATAAACTAGAAAAAAAGACAAATATTAATGCTTTAACTCTAACTGCATTATTATTTGAATTAACTACTAAGCTGAAAACATTTACATCTTGAGTTTCAAAGGTGAGACTGTTAAGTATTGTTTAAACTCTACCATACATTGGTAGGCCAGCTCTAAGAGGCTGAAGGTTGCTCTACATTTTCTATCATTCCGTCATTCAAAATGACATGCTTGATAAACATTTCTACGTATTGAATTACAGATATTTATATTCAATTTTAATGTAAGAATAGAAGTATTAATAAAACTTTGTGCATACGTGTGTGTGTGTGTGTGTGTGTGTGTGTGTGTGTTTTTTCAGGTGTATGTATGTGGATGCAATTGCAGGTATGCATTCTTTTACTTTTGCTTGTTTATTTTGGTTTTTTGTTTTTAAAACAGGGCCACTCTGGGTGTGGTGGCACTTGGGAGGCAGAGGCAGGCGGATCTCTCTGAGTTCAAGGCCAGACTGGTCTACATAGTGAGTTCCAGGCCAGCTGGGGCTATAGGGAGACCCTGTCTCAAAAAGATCAATAAACAAACAAACAAACAAACAAATAAATAAATAAATAAATGAAGGGTCACTCACTGGCCCGGAGCTTGCCAAGTAGACTACCCTGACCAATAAGCCCCAAGGATCTGCTGTCTCAACTTCCCTAGTGCTAGGATTGTAAGACTGGGCTACTCTGCCCAGTTTTTCAATTAAAAAAAAAATTTAAATTTACATAGGTCTAGGGATTGAATTCTGGTCCTCATGCTTGAACAGCAAGTACTTTACCAACCCATATCTAGCTTATCTGGTACTGGGTACTGAACCCTTCATGCATACTTGGCAAGAACTCTAACAACTGAGTTATATTCCCAGCTGGATTAATAAACTATTGAGAAAATATTTTTAGAAATGCAATTTTAGGGTTGAAAACAAGCATGTACCCTAGGAATCAACCATGTTATCCATGGTTTTTGATGGAGAATTTACCTATAATAACTTGACTTGTGTTAAAACCAAATTCACCCAGACATGGTAGCATATACCTATAATCCTAGCACTCAGCAGGCTAGCCAGGGATACACAATAAGACTCTGCCTCAAGAAAACATGAATAAAAATTACCCAAATCCATTAAAAGCAAACAAACAAACAAAAACCTGATCATGTGATAGGATACCAAGATAGTAAATTCTGTTAAGTTCTTCTATATTATTTATATTTATTTGTTGTTATAATAGGGGAGAAATTATTATACCTTAAAATGTTCTTTTTCTGAAAGTTAATTTGGAATAGCCAGATTTTGACTGACAAGGCTGGGTAAGTTATTTTTTAAGTATTTTCATATCTACAATGTAAATTGTTATAGTGCTACATTGGGGTTATTATAAGGATTAGATAAGCTAATATATATTATATACATCTATTATATCTATTATATATAAAGTTCACGGTTAAATGTGTTATAGTTATTGCTGGTTATATGTGGTAACATAAGTAGTAAGACAGACAATCATGGATCATCCACTCAATTTTAGTATATCCTCTGCTAAAGTTGCCCACCTCAAGTTGTTTTGAGTTGTTGTTTTTTTTTTTTTTTTTCTTTTTTTTTTTTTTTGAGACAGGGTCTCCCTATAGCCCCAGGGGACCTGGAACTCACTCTG